CACTGGCTTCCATTCTCTTTCTCTCTCTCTCCCTCCCTCCAACCCAGTCTTGCTCTCTCCCTGCAGTCATCCCAGTCAGGAGCTTGGGGGATCCTGTGGGGGAGGTTTGTGCAGGAGATCCCCCAAGGGAGGGAACTGGGAGAGCAGCTCTGCCTGGGAATACTGGCTAGTATGGGAGAGCCCCACCTGCTTCCTGAGGTGCTGGGGTGTGTGTGTAATAATGTCCAGTGCTGCTGCCCTGGAAGCCAGGCTCCAGGGAACCTGGAAAGGTCTGATGGACAGATCCTAGTGACTGGTTGGTCTCATGAAATACGGGAAGTAGTGGAGTCTCTGTGGGAACAACTAGGACCCAGGAAAATAGCAGCTTCCCCCAGGCTTTGTCAGACATCCTTTGATGTCCTGTGCTCACAGGACTCATGTTCTGTTTCTTGCGGTGCTGTGTGCACACCAGGGTTCACAACATGCCAGGCAGAAGCTGCATTATGCTTCTCATATCTGACATCCATGGCCTGAGGTGCATTGAGAGCAGGTGTGTGTGCCAGGTGGTGCAGGTGTGTCCCCTGTGGGGAGCAGGGTGTGGGGCAGTCCCAGGAAGGCTCTGCTGGGGCAGCAGGTGTGTGCGTGTGTGTTTTTTGTGGGGTAGACGGAGATGGAAGAAGTGGGGAGTGGAGCAAGCCGTGTAATGGAAGGGCTCTGGAAAGTGCAGCCGTACTTCCAGTGGGGAGTTGACGCTTGGGTTTCCTTGGCTAGCAGTGACAGTGGAGCTGTGTGGAGCCAGGCTCTGGACAGGAGTGGGTGATGTGGCCAAGGCAAATCCAGTTCAAACCTCCACCTTCCCCCCACATACTGAGGTGGGTGCACTCCTCTCTTCCCAGACTGGTGATGTCTGTGGAGCTGCTGCCCTCCTGTGACATGCACTGAAAAGGACCTGCCTGGGATTGCCTGGGGGTGGGTGGCTTTTGTGGCAGCTTCTGGAGTTGAAGAGCCTTGAGGGCAGGTTTGTTCACCCCTGTGCCCTGCATCCCCTCCTGCCTCTGCAGGGCTGTGCTGTGTGTGGGATGGCTGCAGCCCCCGGTACCTTTAGAAAAGCAGATCTCAGCTGGGATTTTGTATTGCCATGAATAGGATTTGAGTCACTGTGTTTCGGGCACAGTAATACAGGGCTGTGTCCTCGGGTTTGAGGCTGCTCATCTGCAGGTACAGCAGGTTCTGGGAGTTGTCTCTGGAGATGGTGAATCGCCCCTGAACAGCTGGGGAGTACCACTGGCTGGATCCATCAGGGCTGATTTGAGCCACCCATTCCAGCCCCTTCCCAGGAGCCTGGCGGACCCAGTTCATGTGGTAGCTACTGAAGGTGAACCCAGAGGCTTTGCAGGAGAGGCGCAGAGAACCTCCAGGCTTCTTCGCATCCCCTCCAGACTCCACCAGCTGCACTTGGGACCAGGCACCTAAAACCAAAGGTAGGATCCAAGAGCAACTAGCATCAGTGCAGCACTCCCCTCCCTCTCCTTGCCACCTGGGAGGATGAAATACCTTGCAGAGCTGCTGCCAGGACAAGGATGTGGAGCCCAAATCCCATCTTCCCTGGTGCTGGGGAAAACTCTTGGGTGTTGGCCATCACTGCCTAGATCTGAGGGCTATGGGTTGTCTGTGCAGGTGCTGCCTGGGCAGCAGGACAGAGTGATTTATACAGGGCAGCCTGTCCCTGATTTGCATGTCCCCTGCCTTATACCACCCTGCTGCTTTCCCCTGCAATGGGGATCAGTTGTGCTGGGCACAGACAGTGGGTGCTGGACTCCCCCATCTTTCGTGTCTGGACGGCTCCCACCCCAGGCTCTGGGCCTTATTTAACCTTTGCTGAAGGGACCCGTCCCCACCAGGCCACACTCTTCTGGTGCCTGTGGGCAGGGATTTGCATGTCTTGACTCCTTTCTCTCCTCCTTTGCCATGACTGTCAGGGCTGGGATCTGCTTGCCAGGGGGATGCAGGGAGCACGCTTGTGACTTGAGCTGGGCTGTCCTGCTGCATTGAAACCCAGTGAGCTCCCTGTGGTCAGCACCGTGAGGCTGGCATCTCACATGCACAGCTCAGAGGGATGAACCCACAGCTGGGCAGTTAGTGTTGGTGGTAGCAGGAACTGCTGCTCTCTGATGGTGCTTTCTGGTCTGAAACTTGTCTTAAGCCCAGAAAGTTTCTGATCGCTGTGCGTCTAACACAGTAATTGCTGGCCTTTTCCTCAGCTCTGAGGATGTCCGTGTGTAGGTGCATGGTGCTGCTGGAGTCATCCCTGCAGATTGGTGAATTGTCCCTTAATGGTGCTATTATTCTGTGCTGTGATACCATTCTGGGGGTTGCATGTGAATGTGACCCACTGCAGACCCTTTCCTGGATCCTGGTGGGCCCAATGCATGTAGTCGTTGCTGCAGGTGGATCCAGAGGCTTAGCAGGAGAGATGCAGAGACACCCCCACCCCGGGCTTCTGAACTCCTCCTCTGGACTCCACCAGCTGCACCTGGGACCAGGCATCTGTGGAGAACAGTTCTGAAAGCATCACATCTCTGCAAGGCCTGCCCTACAGCCCTGGGAACCATGGGGAGCATCCTGCTGATCCCAGTCTGCTCTGTGTCAGGAAAGGAGGTTCCCTTGGGTGTGTGAGGAGTCTGGGACAGGGCTGAGGCTGGGAAATGACCTGGAAGAGCTGCCAGGAGAAGCAAAAGCTTCCCCCAGGGTTTTTTTTTCCCCAAAGTCTCTCTCTCTCTCTCTCTCTCGCTACATGTGCACACTATGGAGAGGAGATGGCAAAACTGGAGGCACAGAAGGCAGGTAGATTTGTGTCTTAGAGACCAGGTAAAGCACAGATGTACAGATTGAGCTGTCATAGGCCACCTTAAGGGATGGGCTGAGTGGAGTTCAGCTGCTGTAGACACATGCTAGCAGGCAGCAGCAGTGTGGGGCTGTCTGTGGCTTGGAGAGTGCTTGCTCTAACATCTGAGCTGGTTCTGGTGGGATGATGGCAGGACGAGAGGTTCTTAGTGTCCCTGAATGGAGCAACCGTTCCCTGTCCCAGAATCTTTCCTATTGTGCCTGCTCTCTTACATCCACTGTGGAGCTGACACCCCAACGTCAAACTGACCTCCCTCTAAAGCTCAATCCAGCCTGGGCCCATCACCCTGTGACTCAGGGCTGTATATTTTACAAAGAAGAGCTGGGTAGGACCATAACAGCAAATGCAGAGATCAGGCAATAGAGTATGAGCCAACAGGGTGCTAGTCTAATTGGCCTTCCCTGAAGGGAGTTGGTCCAGCTGGCCTGCAAATGAGGTGGCAGGGGCACCAAGCTGCTTGTTGGGCGGGGAGGTGTCTCACACATCCAGTTCTAGCATTGAGAGTCTGCATCTGTAAGTGCATCTCCCCATCCCTATAAACTTGCCAGGGCTCTTCCCTTTCCTCCCTGCTGTGTCCCTCATGTGCTGGGGTCAGAATGGGTCTTTTCCCAGTGTGTGTGTGTGGGTAGTGCCCAGCTCAGCTCCAGGGCAGGTTAAGGGCTTGTGTTACCAGTGTAGGAATCCCTCTCCCAGATCCCTCTAGTGAGCATCCCAGTCAGTGGGATCAGCAGCTATACTGCTAAGGCAAAGCTCAGTTGCAGACGATGGCTCTAGTGTGTGCCTAAGATGAGAGCTGCTGGCCTGGACGCAGCTCGGTGATTGGTCACTGTCTGATACAGTGGGGTGGTGATGGGGCCACTACAACATGTCACCAAGGTGGCCAGGGAATGACTGTGCTGGGTGAAGCACTCCAGAGTCAGTGTGGTGGATGTGGTGACAGTGGTGACAGTCCCAGTGGGATTTCCTGGAGACTCCTTCCCATGTGTCCATACCATGAAAACACCATTAATGTCTCTTGGGTCTGTCAGTGGGAAGCTGTGGAGGAAATGGACTTCAAAGTCTGTCATAAATACACTGGTATATCAGAGACAATGCATGCGTGGCGGATCAGTAGTGGGTGCTCCTACACTGAGCCACTGACCTCACTGGGCCGGACCAACTTCCAGGCTCCAAGTGCTTCCCTGGGGGCACCTTACATCTGGCCAACCCCCTTCTTGGAGCACACCTGCAAGCCTGGGGGTACTGCTGCCACCACCCAGGGTCTGGACTGATGCTGGCCCTGTGCCCCCTGGGAAACACAGGCCTAGTAGTCCTTGAGGGGTACTTGACCCACTGCAAAAACTTGGGGTGCTTCCCTTAGTCTGAAGCACAAATAGTGGTCTCCCTCAGTCAGCTAAATCAAGGGGACCCCAAGGCACAAACAGGTATTGTGTCAATTCTTGAAGTACGAGGTTTAAAAACCTGTTTTTAAGTGCAACAGTCAGCTGTGCCCCTATCTTTTCCTAGGGCTGGTGCTAGAGACCTGCAGTTGACCCGCAATTGAAAGAGGGGGCCCAGACCTGGGATTTGCATCGCTGCTGCCCCCACACCCAAAGCCCTGCCCCGGCTGCCCAAGAGGCCTGTCCCTCCTGTTGCAGCCCCACCTCCCTGTCCCCTTACCCTGTGGCTTTGCCAACAGTGGCTTCCATTCTCTTTCTTGCCCTCTCCCTGGGGTCATCCCAGTCAGGAGCTTGGGGGATCCTGTGGGGGAGGTTTGTGCAGGAGATCCCCCAAGGGAGGGAACTGGGAGAGCAGCTCTGCCTGGGAATACTGGCTAGTATGGGAGAGCCCCACCTGCTTCCTGAGGTGCTGGGGTGTGTGTGTAATAATGTCCAGTGCTGCTGCCCTGGAAGCCAGGCTCCAGGGAACCTGGAAAGGTCTGATGGACAGATCCTGGTGACTGGTTGGTCACATGAGGTACGGGAAGTAGTACAGTCTCTGTGGGAACTGTGGCAGAAAGGCCACTGACTGTGCCCCTCTCCAGAGATCTGTCTTTGCCAGCGTGAGAGGCTGGTGTTGAATTCCTCGGGGTGGGGGATCTTCCTCCCTGCCGACATGACAGGGACCTGGTGCCTGGGAGGCAGATGCTCTGGTCACCTGGGGAGGGGGAGGGAAAAGCCCAATCCACCGGCCCAAGTAGCTAGTGATGCTTTTTTAGATTGGTTGGCTAGTGGTCAGCACTGGCAGCTTCGATCGGACCGGGCTGCTGAAGTCAGAAAGATTATTTAAAGGCCCAGTCCAGGAAGAAGGGTAGCGATTAGCCATGCGGTCACGCAGGTGAATCTGAACCTGGCTCTCTCCTCATCACCGCATGCTGCAAGAGTGACCTGCCTCCGGAGGATACTCCAACCACCTCTGGATGATACGAGTGAGTAAGCTACTCGAGATCTGACTAGATATTTAGCTTCAGTAACTCAGATGTGTGTTTAAACAGCTACCTCAGCCACCCTGGTTTGCTCTATGGGATTCCTCTGATACTGCTCTACCTTTTACCCTGTTTCCGCCCTACCCCCTGTAATCAATAAAGTTCTCCTTTGAGACCGGTGTGGGAGACT